TTATTATAATCAAAATGGAAGGCTCTGTTTTGAACGAAATCTAGATGATCTGTGAGGTATGACTGCCATAGAGACCATATAGATGAGGCACATTCTAACTTGAATCTTATAAAAGTAGTCGTTTTACGGAAGGTGTAGCAAGTTCGAGGTTTCTGCGAAATATCCGAGAGTACGGTTGGTACCAGCAATTACAGACGTTATGTGAGCAGTCCATCATAGGTCAGAGGTGAGATAAACACCCAGGTATTTATGAGATGAGCAGGCTGTTACTTGAGTGTTAGCAAGGTAATACGAAAATGATGTGGCACGTGAGCTCCAGGAAAATGAGAGGGATTTATATTCATTAAAATTTAGCGTCATTTGCCATTTTTCGCACCCCTGAACTACAGACGCAAGGCCTTCCTAGAAAATGAGATGATATCATGGTATGAAAGAATAGGTCGGTTTACGACACCATTGTCGGCGAACAGGCCCACAAAAGAATGTATTTTATGGTGATCATTAATGTAGATTATCAACAGAAAGGGGCCGAGTGCAGTTCCCTGGGAAACGCGTGGCGTTAAAATAGAGGTGGGGAATTTTACGTTGTTAACGGATGAATATTGCGTATGGTTGATTAGGAATTCAGAAATCCACTCGACGACAGAAGGGTGAATATTAATATCGTTAAGTTTCCTTAAAAGAGATTGATGAGGAACTTTGTGTAATGCTTTAGAGAAATCAATGAAAACGACAGCAGCTTTAAACTCGAATTGTAGATCGAGTAAATGTCGGTAAAGAGAGCGGTTAGCTGGGTTTCACAAGAGGGTAAGATTGACGAAATACGTGCTGATGTTGAAAAAGAAGGTTATGCGAGTCAACAAAGTATATTATATTTGAGTGACGTATATGTTCCAAGAGGTAATTACTCCTGAGTTGGCGATCCCCAGTTTTCTGAACAGGGGTTACGTTAGCGATTTTCCAGCCACACGAAAATATGGAAAGCGTGAGGGACTGTGAGAATATGTCACAGAGAAAAACAAAGAAAACGTGTTTAGTGTTTGATAATACCTTCTAGTTAATTTGGTCATTCCCAAAGCTCAAGAATACTTTTACGTATATCTGTTGCTTTCAATACGCCTGCGTGGTTAATTATGATAGGATTCATCCGAGGGTGAGATAATGGGCATGAGTCTGGAACGTTTAACAAGTATTCGTTAGTAAGGATAGACGTGAAGAAATTGTTAAGATAAAAAACGCTGTCTTCATTTTAAAGTGGAATGTCGTCGTCATCTATGAACTACAATGGAAGGGACAGAGCTGGGTTGACCACTTTCCAAAATAACAACAAGAGCGCAAAACAGCAACACACACAGGACACACACCCAAGGGCCAAGAGTCACACAACGCTGTCTTGCGCGAGGAATGAGAAGGATGGTAACTGCTGCTTTGTATTCTTTATTTTCGCGAGAGGCGGAACAATACTTACCGTGTCTCACTGGCGTCTCATCCATCCATTTTTCATAATTTCTAGCTTTTTGTTTGATAACGTCAAGGATAGGGTACTGACACATGCATTTTTAACGAGAGACTACACGAAAATTTTGCCGATTATTTCTTGGTCTATACGTGTTCGAAGAAACAGTATCACATAGGACACTCCAATCTCTTGTTGAAAAAGACACGAAAGGGAACTTTAAAACAAATGAAGCGATTAACAAATAGCACCTGGTGGATGTCGCTAAAGCCTCATTTGCGATGTCCGTCTCGGAACATTTACGGGTAGTGACGACACCCGTCTCGCCTAGAACTATTCTCGGCGAGAAGTTTGGGTATCGCCTCCTGGTGGAATTTTTCACAACCCAGAGTGAAAATACTTCAACTTCCTCTGCTAGTGCAAGCACGTGAAATGCCAAGCTTCTGCACACTATAAAAATTAAAACATAAACGCGTGGGTATACCACGTGCACTACGCAGAGTGAGGTAAAGCCCCTTGATGTGTTTGCGCTTGTCTTGCAAGTAGCGTCAAATGCGCGAGTGCACGAGGCCCATGTCTCGAGCGGCCCTTGGAAGCAAATGGCGGCGCAGCACTGAAATGAGCGGGCCTTGGAAGCGAATGGCGGCGGAGCACCCGCTCCTCGCACGTGTCTCGCGCGCTTCCACAACAATGGTTGGCGGTACTTGTAAAAAACGCTTTTATCAAGGGGCTTTAGAGTGAGGAAAACAGAAGCGCCCCTAGCGAGCATCTCGCCGAGAATAGCCTCACTAATGCATGCCACAGGCGTGCTAGCATGTGCAGCGTGCGCGTGAACGTAGTTTTGGTAAGCTTGTGATCTCATGCACTTGCCCGCACGAGCAGAGACATGGCGGCGGCCGGATAGCCTGCCTGTAATCGTCTTGTCGACGTCAGCCTCGCTGCAGCTTTGCTCGTCCCGAATCAGGCTACATCACGATTGCGCCTGACGTCACATGCTCTTAGCAGGCTGCTCTCCGAGGGCTTGCCGGAGGGGGCCGTTCATAATACAGCCATCAGGTTAAAAATGCAAACGTGCAATAGTTATTTACGGATATTGTGGATCATATTCAGCCTGTTTCTGAACACGACGGCTATATTTCATATTTCGTTGAAGTATGGCTTTAAGCTGTGGAATCCTTCCTGCCTCAATGATCTCTCCAATGAGCCTCTGGCCAATCCTACCTATCCCCCTCGAGATTCGATCGTCACGGGTGCTATGGTGAAAAGCGCAAGCATGCTCTGTTTTATACTTGCTTGGAGGAATCAAATCAAATCAAATTTGGGGGTTTTACGTGCCAAACCAACGACGGGCATCTGGCACGCCTCAGCGGAGGACTGAGGATTAATTTGGACCACCTGGGGATCTTTTGACGTGCAACCGAAAGCTCGGTTGCCTCCGTCAGATTGCGGGCACCTCGGCCGGGATTCGAACCCGCCACATGGGGATCCGTATTGCTTGGAGGAAAGAGTACGTTATGAACTAGAGCACTGCACGGGACCGGGCCAGCCCAAAAGCCCAAGCCCAGCCCGGCCCGCGGACCAGGCTCGGGCCGGGTAGCACGGATTTTTCTCGGGCCCGGGCCGGGCTCGGGCTTGAACAAAACGTCTTTTGTGCCGGCCCGGGCCGGCCCGGGCAGTCGTGCGCCGCAAATTCTAAATTGCTGATAACAAAAGGTGTGCTCATTGATCTTTTAGGCTAAATGAAAACAAACAAGCGAAGTGCAAAATCACTACCGGTGCCGTTCGAAATATATAAAAATAAGACGTCCTGCACTTGGAAAGCTTTTAAGTGGATAAAAGAAAACGTATGTACTCTACCAGCACGGTGAAAGTGCGCATGCTTTATGCTTAGACAGTTTTTAGACTGAAGCCTGCAAACTCTTTCGGGCTCATGTTTATAATCTGTTGGGCTCGGGCCGGGCTCAGGCTCATATTTAAAAATTTTTATGACGTGCTCGGGTTTATGTTCAAAACTTCTGTCGGGCTCGGGCCGGGCCCGAACGGTGTCTCTACCGGGCCGGGTCCTTAGCGCGCGCGTACCACGTGACTGCGCCAGCCAATCGCGGTATTCTTCTCTCCTCCCTTTCCTCCTCTCCCTCCTTTTCTCTCTCGCGGGGCTTTGCCGTGGGGGTCTCCGAATACGCGCCCGGCCTACCCAGACATACCACCCACACAGGAGAAATGCAGAAAAAACGACAAAACAACATAAAAAAGAAGAAGAAATTTCGGCGATTCGTGACAATCACGTTATAGGGCGGGTGCATGTTCTAAATTCCGAAGCAACCTGCACCAAACAATATTTTTTTTATCTTTTTAATATATCTTAAAAATAACAACAAATGTAACGTGGTTCTGGCAAAGTATCGCGATGCAAGCGGTACATTGTAAATGTATTTCACTGCTGAGATACAAATACATTTTTCAAATGTATCTCGATACAGTGATACAGATACTCGAAAGTATCTCTAAGATACTATCGCGATAAAATTGTATTGCGATACTGCCTAGCCCTGTGCTGGTGTTAGAGGTGTTAGAAGAGAAAAACATAAAACACGGTTTTCGTCCTTTATGTTATTCTCCTCTAACACCTTAAGAATTACACTTAAATTTTTCGTGTTTTTGTCGCAAAGTAAGTGTGAATTTTTTTAAAGCTTTTGCGTTGCGTTTTTTATTAGGTGCAACTTAAAGAAGGTGAAGTAATTATTATCAGTTTCTGCATTAACATAATGCTTCGTTAGATATCGCGCTTATGCATACGCGTACCGACAAAACAGTAAAACATGTTGATTCGCAATTTAAGGAAAGTAACGTGCGTTACTTTTTATCAGTAATGACAAGTTGACTACAGGAATAGTCAACTTGGGGGGGGGGGGGGGGGGGAGCGAATGTTGTCTGGATTTTGAGCCATGCTAATCAACTGATAACATTTAAATATGGATCCAAGGAAGCGGGATTCAAAAAGACGCAGCTGTCTTTCGATGTGGGCGAGTACACAGGAAGACGGGCGCTTCTGTGTATACTCTCTCGTCTTCGTTTTGCGCGCTATTTCATATATTGCTTAAACATGCGCAAAATTTCTACGCTTATGTGGTTCGACGCCCTGAACTGTTCGAGGGACTCGAAGCATTGAGGCACCTATTCTAATACCCGTGCCACACGGGCAACTGGAATGCAATTTACAACGAATGACATTTGAGCGGACGGCCAATCAGCGCGCGACACTCCTGGCGTAGTGGATTCCACGCGCGACAGATTGCGAGCAAATTCGCCGATCACACAAATGTCATTCGTTGTAAATGGCATTCGAGTTGCCCGTGTGGCACGGGTATAACACTGTCTAAGATCATTTCATAATTTCTAAGCTCATTCTAAAAAGCCCGACGCCTTAGCTTGATGCGCAGATTTCGTCGTATAGAAGCCCCGCGATCTATTGCAAGTTTTCTCCTTTGCAAATTCGATTTTGTGTCTCTCTTGTCAATATCAGTTTTGAAAGGAATTTAATTACCTCAAAAAGGACGGCGACAACTGCTATTCCATCGTGATGCTTCGAAGCCTCTTCAACAGTCTCGTATCTTGTGTTCACGTGCACCAGGTGCATCTGCGAAAAAGACCGGTGACAGTTTCAGCTCGCGGTTGGAGAAAAATAAAACGTACCTTTCGGATGAGGTCTGTCATGAGATTGCGATGTAACTGTTCCAGTCAATAAATACCCATTAAAAACAACGTGACAACATTACTGAAGAGACCCTGCTAACAGGGAAACGACAAGTTGGTCGCGTATACGGTCGGTGATAGGTTAAAAAAGCCCTATATAGTCACCGACGACTTAAGAAATTTAAGGCGTGGTCTGTTGTGAGCACGCTTCTTGTTTCGTGATTCGTTCTTCGGCGCTCTTATCGGCCGAGGCAGCGACCATATTGGCTGGGAAGCGACAACAAGATTCTCGGGATTCGCCACGCCCTCACTCCTTGAGCTGTCAGTGACTACGGAAGCTCCGCCTCCACCGCGAGCTTTCTGACTTCGGTGGTACTTCGGGGTCTCGTGGGCACGCCCAGCCAAAGCGCGACGGAAGGCAGCGAACGCGTGATGGAGGCGGCGAACCCATTACATTCCAAAACGGTCACGGAATATACGTGTCGTATTACACCTGAGACTGCGGTGGAAGAAATCGGAAGAACTTTCAGTAGAAGGAACAGACACAGAGAACGTCTCAGGAACAGACGCAGAGAACGTCTGTTGAGGCGTTCTCTGTGTCTGTTCCTTCTCTGAAAGTTCTTCCGATTTCTTCCACCGCAGTCTGAGGTGTAATACGACATGATTAGCTACCACCAGCTCGCCTGCACTCTCACCGTCTTTTCACGGAATATACGGGCAGAAACTGAGGGAGAGGAGGAGACGCCGAGCGCGCGGGGACGTCAGATCAGCGAGCTCTGCTTGGGAGGACCATAGTGGGCGGACGTAAAACTACACTTCGTTTCAGCATAAGTCCGACGCAGCCAACGCTACGAGGTAATGGGAAGAATCGAGCAGTGTCAAAAGAGCAAGTCACAAAGCCTTTTCTGTTTATGATTCGTTCAGTGATGAAATTACAGGTACAAAAACCGGACAAACGTTATCATGACGAGTTTCTGACGCTGTCTGATTGGTCCCTTTAGCTCGTAGCGCCGACTGCGCCTGGACTTGAACTGAAACTAAGAATAGCTTTGCATCATAACCTAAACCCTGAGACACGGTGCGGATAAAATAATCGACAAAACGTGTCGTCTTGTTAATTATTTTATTTACTCGGTGTCTCAGGGTTTGGATTATGCCATGTTTCCTGACAAGCTGCATGGTCTGTACACTTTCGCTCCTTATAGTATTTGCGTCTGCCCACTAATCATTCCAACAACAGCTCGATGTTCTGGCGTCCCCGTATGCTCTCGTAGCCTCCCCTTTAGTCTCTGCTCCGCTAGCTTGAGAACATTCTGAATGTCAAAATATTGACCAAGTATCGTTGGCCTTTGGAGTATATGGTTTTATGACTTGATACTTCCTAAAGTTGGGTAGCGCAAATCACTTATCTGACCATGCGTGCTATACGCTATAAGTAGTTTCCTCGATCTACAGGTTCAAACACGACCCAGTGCCTTATCAGTAGAAAACAGACTGAAATTGTAAACGAACATCTCAGAAACTGGTTCATTAGATGCACTGATAAATGTCCTTGAGGACGTGTCAACAAACAGAAGGCGGATCTTAGCGTCAAATAGGCTATCATCGGGGGTAAAAGAAAAGCGACACGAATGATACAGAGAGGATGAAACATCTTGTCCTGTCTTCGTTCTTCACGTCAATTTCTTTTTACCCTTGTAGCATACCAGGAGCCTCACGAAAGTACCCGACTTTCACTTTTTATATCAATATATTGACGTTTATTTGACACTGGCAAAAACGTTCAGCGGAAGGATGTCTTAAGTTCACCATAAATCATAAGTTCTCATAAGGGTTCTTATCTTTAAAAATGTGTTTAACGAGCACCGCATTAAAGATGCCATCGCACTCGTCCTTATTTTTTCAGTGACCTGAGGGCCACAATTCCCTGCAGATCAATTTTTATTTCTGCAACCACAGTCATAACGTTCAACAGTGAATAACAGGAAGTTTACGTAGTACCATTTAACCTTTTTTTTTGTCTTTTGCGGGGCTTGTTTGCGGATATAGCTGAGTGTTATCACAGAAACATAGCAACGGAAGTTACTTCGCTTGGTTGCCGTGATCAACGCACTGAATTTCTCAATTTCTAAGTGAAAGCTCAAATGAATTAAAATAAAATTCGTCTCTCTACCCGCACCACCAAACGGTATATCAGGTTTAAACCAAATAAATAAATAAGGTCTGATATGACCAAAAAGGAAGTTTTTATTTAAAAGCCAATAAACTAAGAAAAACAGGGAGGCAGCGAAACAACTAGATCCGGTACGGGCTTGTGTTTCATTAGCCGGCTTTTATCGAGTATAAAATCAGGTAATATTGGCGTAGTTTGCACAGGCGAGTCTTCCTGGCCGCAGCAAGACTCGTCTGTGCACACAACACTATCGCTACCTTGAGCTCACACAGATTACTTATACATATGCTTCGTGCTGTGAAGAAACTCAAGGAGGCGTGGTGATTCTCACTACTATTTAACAACCCACCTTCGTCACTTCTCATGTCCCCACCCCTCTTTCTATCAAAACCCAATTTAAGCCTAACAATTCGTCATGATGTGCCAGCCATGAATCATTTTCACTGACAGTAAGGGCACACGTCATTTCTTCCTTGACAACGCACTTCCCTCCCACATCCTACACCAACTTTCCGTTCATCTAGCCAAACTTCCCCACACCTCCTACACATTCGATTGGGCAGGGTGGCACATAGCTTCTCTCCATGCCAGGCGCAAATGAAGCCACCTGGGCCCGTTTGCTCGAAGCGCTAACAGCGGCTAAAGTTAGCCGCAGTACCTAGGAGTGGGTTTTTGAAATCGCGTGACTGGCTCGGTAGGGATACGGGGAAACATGGCGGTGCCCCGGTGAGTGAGCGCCGCTCGCTTTAAAACTAATATGTCGTTGTAGCTGCAATATCGGGCGCGTTCGTCAGCAACAAATGGTGCAGGAGGCTTTCGCTTTGCCTCACCTCACTTAAATCGCAAAGCACACTCTAAGCCCTGTCCCACTTAGTAAGAGGGACATTTCTTCGATTTTTTCCCACTTAACTTTAAGGGGGGCGACAGACCTCTTAATATTACATGGAGATTCTCCCTCTTAATTAAGTGAGACACCAGCCCTCTTAAAGTAGGCGATACGGCGTCTCCCTTAAATTTGAGGTCAGAGTCTCTTGGTGAGAGGGACATTTTTTAGATATTTTCCCCCTTAAATTTGGAGGGACGGTGGCCCGCTTAAAATGCAGGCGTATAGCCCCCCTAAGTCGGGGTCACGCTGCTTATACATCATACAAAATACATTCTGCAGACATGTTCCGGAACGAGTCGCCGCGACATCCGAGCCTCGTACGCCACGAGGCAACCGAATCAAGAGGTTGCTTTGTCACGTGGCATACAAAGCACGGATGTCGCGGTGACTCGTTCCGGAACATGTCTGCAGAATGTATTTTGTATGGTGTATAAGCAGCATGACCCCGACTTTAGGTTATCTCTTTTATTGTATCGTAGAATTTCTGCTCCTTCGTGTTTGGACTGTCAGCTGACATGCTGCACTGCAGTGATGCAGTTCTCGCACTTTCGCTGATATTGTTTAACCAAAGTTATTTTGTGCTGCGTAACAGAATTGAAATTTGATCTGTATATGTGTTAAATAAAACAGTAACAATCTTTAAGAGTAAACACGTGTTTTATTTGCCATGACACAAGAAAATATTTTGGAATGTCTTTATCAAAATAGTAATTTTATAACGATGTTCTGGTAGGTTTTACGGATAAAAAAGACGTTAGAACGACGCCAGCAACTGGCGTTTCTTGCAAACAATCACACAAAATATTTCGTGCTGCAAAGTGACTCCTTTTGCCTATCATAAACAATAACAATACAATCGTGCTAAAAAAAAAAAACTTTTTTTTTTTTGGCGGATAACACAAAAAATAAGTACATTCTAAAAAAAGCCCGTGCGTCTACTTTCCGGCACAACACTTGGAAAGACAATCACCCTAACTCTCGGAGGCAGCTCAGCGAATGCAGATGCCGAAACATATGATTATACCAAAAAAATGAGTTGCGGCACTAACCACAACAAGCGTGACGTTTTGCATTGCTTAATGTCACAACTCAGACTTTTTTTTTTTTTTTTTTTTGACTAATCTTATGTTTTGGCATCCTTCCGTGAGTTACGGTGATTGACTTTCCAAGTGCTGTTCGGGAAAGTAGATTCGTGTGCTTTTTTTTTTTTTTTTGGAGCGTAGTTACCTACTTCATAGCGTTAAAAACGAATTATTCGGCGTCTCTTGTCATCAGCAGAAGCTCGGAATTCCTGTTGTTTTCGAACGGTCACAAGCAATTGTCTGAGCTTCTCTGACATAAACTGAATCGAAAGACTTTATTTTCAACGAGCAGAATTTAGAGGAGTCCAAGGGTTTGTCCACATGCCACAGGGTAGGAGAGTCCCGTTATGTAATACAGCCATAAGCACATGGCTGGTGAACCCCTCCATAGTCGTGCTAGCGGAGAGTTTCACTGACCAGCTCCCAGAAACGATCCGTTTCTCCGAACCGAAGAAAGTCTTGGGTCCTGGAACTTTTTCGTCAGGGATAAAATCGTCCTGGAAGCAGCAATTGTTAAAAAAAAAAAAAAAAGCGTCAGCGTCAAACTTACATTTCTATTTTTGCATTCGCTTTTTCACATACCATAGGCGATGAGAGGACTTCTGGCCAATCGAGACCGGAGAATGGTCTTCATGTTCAAGAATGTTGTTGGGTTGTCTCCGCAGAAGGCCCCTTTTACCTCCTCCAGTTTCTTCAGTATGGTGACGATCGTGTTATGGAACCGAAGCTGTGCATCCACCTTTAGTTGAAGGAAAGACCATGTTGTTTTCCTTTAGATACAGAGGGTGGGAATTAGAATAAAG